TTTTAGCGTTATTTGTAAGAAAGAAAGGAAGTCAATCATCACTTTCGTGTCCCTAAGTAATCTACATAGTAAAATTTAGTTAGAATTTATTTAAAAAAGTTATTTAATATTACATGATTAAGCTTTTGTTTAATTATAATGAAAGTGAGATTATAGTCGAATGTAGTTTGTAAAGGTTTAGTTCAATTTCTCTTATCAGAACCAATAGTTAGTTCAGTAGCATATAGTTAGGTAAATTCACCCGTACTGCTGAGTAACCCGACCTGCTGGGTAACTATACTTACTATACTATGTATAGGTCTCGTCTCCATAGCCTGACAGTAAGTAAAAGCATGTATGTGTGTTTGAGTGTATGTTGTGTTCCACTGGTTTCCGTAATTTTTTATGCTGTTTTTCTCGACAGTAACTTTGTTTCAATTGAATTTCCTTCTTTTTTTTAATACTTTGTTTGTTGTGTTGTTTTATTCATTTTATTTGTATTTTTTCTTTATTTTTTATTCTTCTTTACTTGATTTTTATTTTTGTTTTTATATTCTCGTATGTTAAATGAAAAGATACGTCATTGAATCACCACGTTGGTTGATTAGCAAGAAGCGCTTTGGTGATGCGATTAGACAATTTAAGAAAATTGCCAAAATCAATGGTCGCCAGTTTGATATGACGGAAAAAGAGTTGGCTCAAATTTACTCTCAAACAAAGGAAGAGGCTACCTATGGCATTGCATCATTGTTTAGTGGTTGGCGTTTGGCTAGAAATACGGCTATAATGGGTTTCAGTTGGTAAGTTGCATTTAATTTTATAAATTTAAAGTTATTTCTTCCAGTACATGGAAATGGTACGAGATAATACAAGGAATCAAAAATGCTCCCTCATAATTTGCGTTATTTTTTCAGCCAGCTATTGAAAAATCACTACTTTTTATCTACACTTTGTAGAACGTATACTTGTTTTGTAATTATAATCAAAATAATTATTACGTATACGTAATATTTTAATATTTTGAAATTACGTATACGTAATAAATATTCACATAATTTTGCTTTACACCTGTTCCATGATATTGAAAAGTAAATTTGTAAAATTCCTTCGAATACGTATTGGCTCACGTTTATTTCGTCTTCAAAGATCAAAAATTGTTTCTTAGTTTTTAACTTTTTTCTTTCTTTATATTTTTGTGTCTTTTAAAAATATTTAGGTGTGTTGTAGCGGTATCTTACTTTACTTTAGTTTTGTTCAGTTCTCGCATGAGTGGAAATCCCTTCTTAAATTTCCTGCTTCAAAGTATCGTAGAGATTCCAGCCTATTTGGTGGGCAAATATTTGGGTAAGTAAAGAAGAACATTTATAAATTCTGTAAATTGCAAATGTCTTATTAGCTACCAATTCATGAGGATCCGACTATAATTGGTTCAAAATAACTGCATAATGGACTTAATGAGGACAGGCAGTTCTTTTTGTGCTAATCAATCTGCATTAAATGCAATATAAAAAAATTATAAATGGACCAATTTGTTGGCATTATATTAATAATAGACCGGTTTTAGCCCCCTCAAGTATCTAATTTATATTTGTGTTCTTTTTATCCACATTTTACTGTTTATTATATTCGCAACGTTAAAAAATGTATTTCTTTTTTATATTTTCTTAATTGATGCTACAGGTGATAAATTTGGACGCCGTTTTACTAATAGTCTTTCATTCTTTATATCATTTCTTGCCTGTTTACCGGTAATATTTTTGGCAACGGGTAAGTGTTTGTCTTCCGTTTTCTTAACTTATCTTAACTTTTAATTTATTTTATTATTTTCTTGCTTCTTCTTAATATCAACAAACGTTTTACAGAGGAAAAGTACGAATTTGTTGTAGTGGGCTTGGCGGCATTTATTAAGTTTTTAAATGCGGTTACATTCTTTACGGCCAGTTTACAGGGCATGGAAATTTATCCCACGTGTATGCGCCAGACTGGCATTGCTCTTGGCACCATTTTGGCGAATGCTATCGGTGTTTTGGCACCGTATCTTGTCTATTTAGGCACCACCGTCGACATCCGCAGTCCCTATTATATTTTGGGTACATTATTCTTTCTTGGCGCCGTCGGTGCTCTCTTCTTGCCCGAAACACTGCACAAAAAACTGCCCGACACTATGGAGGAGGCTCGTCAATTTGGCATAAACGATGTAAGTTTTTTTTTCCGCACAAACTAAAAAAAGTTCACTGAATAAGTTTATGAATAGATGAATGAATCTATTGAATGTGAAACTATCTATTACGTTTAAAGTATTTGTGTGTGTGTGTGCGCTTCAGTGTAAAAACGTCGTTTAGTTGCTAAATTTACTTTATTTTATGTTTTTTTTATTATAAATCCAACAACATGTTTTGCTTGTTCATTTTTTTATAGAAATTCTTCAGTCTACCCAAGGCGCCAGCAGCCAATGCCAATTCAACAGCCACAAGACAGGCGGCTGATGCTGCTATGGAAAAGCTAAATCAGGCTCAATATGCACCCTAAACTTTATATATAAAATTTTATGTTTATTTTTTGTTGTAGCATTAGTTTTTGTTGTTGTTGTTCTAAACAACAACATCATCATGATTTTATTTCGCAAGCATGATTTAGCATTTCAGTATTCCGATTTTTTCCGCCGTTGATGTCGTTCCTACTAATTAATGTGTAAGATATTTTTTTCGGTCGTTTGGTTGGCTGGTTGTTTGTCATCCTTTTGTTGCATATAATAGAACAGGAATAGAAGGAGGAGGAGAGCAAGAGTCCTTGTTGTTGTTATTCCATACAATGTGTGATGTACTTTAAGTCGTTTTCTTAAGTTTTTATTACCTAAATGCATAATAATGTTAAATTAGTTTTATATACAAACCAACAAAAAAAAAAAAAAGAAAAAAGCTATACGAAAACACAATAATAAAATAATAAAAAAAGAAACAAAAAATGGGATAAACTACTTAATTTGGTTTTATTTATAACGTTAGAAACGATGCAGCAGCATTCAGTTCGTGACTGTCGCATTCCACTTTGTCTTTTGTGTTCAGACAAAACAAACTCTTGACATGTTTAAAGTAACATCATACATTCATGTGTAGTTTTTAGTTTTATACTCCAAAATTTTATTTACATGTCGGCAAAAAGCATATTGTAGTTGTGGGTTAAGGAAATGAAATTTGCCTAAAACACCCACTAGAAGTTCAAAGAAGTTAAAAATACTTCTCAGATTTGGAGTTAATTATTCATCAGTTTTATAGTTAATGTTGGTTTAATGTGTGTATAAAATTAAACACACAGAATTTTGTTTGTTGCTACAAATATATAAAAGTAAAACAAGTAGGAAAGTGTCCGACCAAATTTTTTAAAGTTGAGCTGAAAAGTTCATATCGGAAGGTCCAGTTGTTTGGGGACTAGGTGAAATAATGGACCGATTTCAATGGTCCGTATGGTCCAAATTGTATTAAAATGTCGTGAAAATTGCGGCCTGTACCTTGGGCGCAAGGTTTAAGTTGTTTGTACGACCAATAATTTTGTACGTTACAAACATCAGCACAAACGCATAATACCTTCCCCACTATATAGTAAGCTAAAGTATAAAAGGTTGAAATTAAATTACTTTTACATCCCTAAAATATGTTATAAATATTATACTAATTTATATCGTACATTGTTTCGTATACATGCAAAATTTAAAAGTTTTAAAAAGAGTACTTATAAGTATTGTAAGTACTAAAATACTTTTCGATTTTTGGTATTTTATGACTAATATACATATATTATACATAGTATACAGACAGGTCTATTTAACACGCTTACTGGCTATGGACTATTCTATATATTTTTTAATCTACTATTGACTCCTCGAACCATAAATTTTTTTAGAAGAATTTTTATATGCACATGACACTACTGCAATTCTAAATCAGAAGAGCTGAGGTCTGTAATAAACTAAAAAGACTTTGAAATATAAATTGATCCAGAATATTTTTGCCATATAATCCATATAGTAAATCGATAAATCTTGAAAAAGAAAATTATAGGTTTTATAAAAATTACACTACAAAATTTCAAATTGGCAATGATATTGGTCCATTTTCTTTATAGCATAAGATGTTTGGTTCCATTAAAGTTTTTAATAAACAAAAATATCGTTTGGACAACTAATTTAGTTTTCCTTAATAAAATTTAAACAAGTAATAAACAAAAAGAAAAAAATATTTTTATAAAAATACCTTACGGTGAAGGCTATTTTAGATTCTTTTATCTGTATAGTTTCCCTGTAACAATATTTGGAGTGTCAGAGTATAAGCTAAGTATTTGATAATTTACCTATTATTAATTGCTAACAATTGTTAATTTAATTATTTACAATTTTATTTTACCTTTTTCATTTATACGTCTTAAAACAATAAGATCTTTAAACATCAATAAATACATACAAGCAAATTGTTATCTTTATTAATATGTTTACACAAAATGTTTAAAATTGTTGCTGTCTAAAGCTTTATATTGATTCAGAACATTGCCCTTCAAACAAAGTTACCACATAGATTGAAAAGCTTTCAAATAATGTAAATAACTAGGAGTATAAATAATATAACAAAGTAATGTGACAAAAAAGTAGAACATGACGGAAACAAACTATAAGTAAATCAATTAATCTTGAAATTATCAATTAGTTTAATAATTGATTTAAAAATATTTAAATCTGGCAACATTTACTCCAAAAAGTTTTGATGATAATAATATCAAACAAATGCAACAAATTAAGCAGATTAAAATTAAACGTAGGATTGTATAAACGCAAATAAAAATGAACGCAGTAATAAAATTTATTATTTAAAAATTAATACAATTGTACAAAAATATGTTTGTGTAAATTATATTATCAAAAAATTCAAGTATTTAAATTTATTGATTACTGTTTATTTATAGAAATAAATTAGCAAAATCGAATTGTATGCAAAAAACTATGTTCGAAGTGTAAACAATTCCAAAGCGTTCTTTTATCTATTGATCGAGTATATAAATACATACACTATAATACTGGCTGTTACAGATGACAATATCAATGAGACAGAAACACATTATATACAAAATACATCTCTATGTGTATGTTGATAACTTATATGGCTCAAATGAAGATACTTATCTTAGAAATGGATATATTATATAGGTCTACTCAAATTATTTTGATAAAAAAAAACTTAATCCGTTTAAATTAACGATGTTAAGTTTGTAATACATTATTACAGACAACAATGAAAATATATATTGCTTTTGCATTGCTTAGTCGAATATAAGAACTCAGTTATTCAAAAGTTATCTTCAAAACCCATTATTAAACAATATGGAAGACAGCAACTTTACCAGTAGAAATTGCTCCCCTGAAGAAGTCGATCCAAGTGCAAGGGATGATCCCTTTCAACACATTATCGCAAAAGCCGGTAATCATGGTCGCTTTCAACGGATTTACAACATAACATTTATTATGGGTCTAACAATTGCTGCTGCCATGATTTATATGAATATAATTTTAGTGTTAAATATTCCAGACCATTGGTGTACAGTGCCGGGTAGAGAGTATACGAATCTTTCTTTAAGCGAATGGCGAGAGCTGACATTGCCCTTGTAAGTATTACGACTGTTCATATACATACAAGAATATAATTTCTGCTTTAAATAATTTATTTTTGTATTTTCATGTAGGAGGAAATATAATCGAGGTACACAAAAATATAGCAGCTGTCTAATGTTTGATGAGGATTTTACAGAAATTGATGATTGGGAAAAATGGAACTCAACACTTGCAAATGTAACAGGTCAGTCTAAACTAGAACTGAACTAGAACTGAACTAGAACTGAACTAGAACTGAAGTAGAACTGAAGTAGAACTGAACTAGAACTGAACTAGAACTGAACTAGAACTGAACTAGAACTGAACTAGAACTGAACTAGAACTGAACTAGAACTGAACTAGAACTGAACTAGAACTGAACTAGAACTGAACTAGAACTGAACTAGAACTGAACTAGAACTGAACTAGAACTGAACTAGAACTGAACTAGAACTGAACTAGAACTGAACTAGAACTGAACTAGAACTGAACTAGAACTGAACTAGAACTGAACTAGAACTGAACTAGAACTGAACTAGAACTGAACTAGAACTGAACTAGAACTGAACTAGAACTGAACTAGAACTGAACTAGAACTGAACTAGAACTTGAACTAGAAACTGAACTAGAACTGAACTAGAACTGAACTAGAACTGAACTAGAACTGAACTAGAACTGAACTAGAACTGAACTAGAACTGAACTAGAACTGAACTAGAACTGAACTAGAACTGAACTAGAACTGAACTAGAACTGAACTAGAACTGAACTAGAACTGAACTAGAACTGAACTAGAACTGAACTAGAACTGAACTAGAACTGAACTAGAACTGAACTAGAACTGAACTAGAACTGAACTAGAACTGAACTAGAACTGAACTAGAACTGAACTAGAACTGAACTAGAACTGAACAAGAACTGAACTAGAACTGAACTAGAACTGAACTAGAACTGAACTAGAACTGAACTAGAACTGAACTAGAACTGAACTACTAGAACTGAACTAGAACTGAACTAGAACTGAACTAGAACTGAACTAGAACTGAACTAGAACTGAACTAGAACTGAACTAGAACTGAACTAGAACTGAACTAGAACTGAACTAGAACTGAACTAGAACTGAACTAGAACTGAACTAGAACTGAACTAGAACTGAACTAGAACTGAACTAGAACTGAACTAGAACTGAACTAGAACTGAACTAGAACTGAACTAGAACTGAACTAGAACTGAACTAGAACTGAACTAGAACTGAACTAGAACTGAACTAGAACTGAACTAGAACTGAACTAGAACTGAACTAGAACTGAACTAGAACTGAACTAGAACTGAACTAGAACTGAACTAGAACTGAACTAGAACTGAACTAGAACTGAACTAGAACTGAACTAGAACTGAACTAGAACTGAACTAGAACTGAACTAGAACTGAACTAGAACTGAACTAGAACTGAACTAGAACTGAACTAGAACTGAACTAGAACTGAACTAGAACTGAACTAGAACTGAACTAGAACTGAACTAGAACTGAACTAGAACTGAACTAGAACTGAACTAGAACTGAACTAGAACTGAACTAGAACTGAACTAGAACTGAACTAGAACTGAACTAGAACTGAACTAGAACTGAACTAGAACTGAACTAGAACTGAACTAGAACTGAACTAGAACTGAACTAGAACTGAACTAGAACTGAACTAGAACTGAACTAGAAACTGAACTAGAACTGAACTAGAACTGAACTAGAACTGAACTAGAACTGAACTAGAACTGAACTAGAACTGAACTAGAACTGAACTAGAACTGAACTAGAACTGAACTAGAACTGAACTAGAACTGAACTAGAACTGAACTAGAACTGAACTAGAACTGAACTAGAACTGAACTAGAACTGAACTAGAACTGAACTAGAACTGAACTAGAACTGAACTAGAACTGAACTAGAACTGAACTAGAACTGAACTAGAACTGAACTAGAACTGAACTAGAACTGAACTAGAACTGAACTAGAACTGAACTAGAACTGAACTAGAACTGAACTAGAACTGAACTAGAACTGAACTAGAACTGAACTAGAACTGAACTAGAACTGAACTAGAACTGAACTAGAACTGAACTAGAACTGAACTAGAACTGAACTAGAACTGAACTAGAACTGAACTAGAACTGAACTAGAACTGAACTAGAACTGAACTAGAACTGAACTAGAACTGAACTAGAACTGAACTAGAACTGAACTAGAACTGAATTTAGTCTGAGGTAGGTATTATAAGCAGCTTCACTCTTGTGTTATGAAATTCATAACGATTTTGTAGATTTAATTTTATGCAAAATTTTGTTTTAGCGTGCAAATACGGCTGGAGTTATGATCAGACTTGGTTTAAAAGTACTATACCAACACGAGAAAATTGGATATGTTCGAAAGATATGTATGTAACAAATGTTTTCGTGGTCGGACGTGTTACCGAGGTAGCAGGCTCGTTTCTACTTGGGCAAATGGGTGACATGTGAGTTAAGTAGAAATTTAAACATAAAATTATTTAAATTAGATTTCAGTTTTATTTTAGTTTTTATTTAGTCTATATTTCCAAATCGTTCATATCCATTCAATATAGAGTATTGAAAAGTACGTTTTCTCGTTGCAAATTCCTTAAAGTTTTTTTTACTCTTTTTTAATACAAAATCTAAAATTGATTTAAATAAATGTAATTATTTGAACCACTAAATTGCATGGCGAAAAAAAGGATGGGAACTTCATTTTATCCTTCTTTCTAATTTAGTACCCAAGCATGTTGATTATACTATAAAAAATTGATTTATATATATTTTATTTTATAACCCTAATAATTATGCATATTAAATATGTATTATATTTAAGTTTTCATTTTTATAATTTTCGTTTATTGTGGTTTTTCATTCGTTTCCTTTTCAGTTTTGGTCGTCGTATTGTTTATTACATCAGTGTAGTATTTTGCCCCTTTGGCAGACTTTCATCAATTTTGACGACATCTCATTATTTTTGGTTTCAAGTTCTTTCCAGTTTGACATCTTTGTCTATTAATAGCGTTTTTCAATCACCACATATAATCGGCATGGAAATATCAAGGGAGTGAGTTGTTATCTTGTGTTTTATGTATACATATATAGATTTTTGAAAAAATAAATTTTGTAAATTGTTTTCCTATCTTATCGTTTTTATGTATATGAAATTTTTTGTGTTCCCAATTTTTTTAGAGAAGATCGTAGTGCAGTTGCCATGTATCATAATATGGGCTGGTCAATTGGCATAATTATAGTACCTTTACTATTTTGGTGGCAACGTGATTGGGAATCGTTTATGTGGATCTCAACGATACCAACAGCATTATTCTTAATATTTTCTAGGTGATTACACATAAATAGCTTTTTAAAAGAGAGAGACTTATGTTTACTTTATTAATATAAAGCTTGTTAATTATTTTATTGATTACTTTCCTTTATGCTTTAAATTTATTGTCAGTTATGTCATTGAATCACCGCGTTGGTTGATTAACAAGAAACGTTTTGGTGATGCTATTAAACAATTTAAGAAAATTGCTAAAATCAATGGTCGCAAATTCGATATGACGGAAAAGGAATTGGCACAAATTTACTCCAAAACCAAACAAGAGTTTACATATGGTTTTGCTTCTTTGTTTAGTGGTTGGCGTTTGGCTAGCAATACTTCGATAATGGGGTTTTCAAGGTAAGTTCAATAACATGAATTAATTATGAAAATCTTCCTTTAACTTTAACCGGAAATTAAAAAAATATATATTATTTTTGAAAAGCCGTTAAAATGCATTTTATATGAAAAACGTGTGTATATACTTTTATTTGACTTTAAGAATTATGTATGGTTAATACTTTATTTAAATTAGCAGGACTTTCAAATAATGAATCATACGGACGTATACTTAATATCGGCTAACGATGTTTTATAAATATAACGTATACGTGCAGTACTATTAATGGTTTTTAAAAGAAATTGTTTAAGATTTTTCATCATTTCTAAATAAATTATTTCTTTTTTATAAGGTGCGTTATTACCATTTCGTACTTTACTATAATTTTGTTCAGTTCTGCCATGAGCGGAAATCCTTACTTAAATTTTCTACTGCAAAGTTTAGCAGAAATGCCAGCTTATTTTATTGGAAAATATATGGGTGAGTTAAAATGAAAGTGTTACAATACTAATATTTTACAATAATAACTCAAATCTGACAAAAAAAAAAAAAATAAATAAAAAGGGTAGATAAACAATTTGGCGAAAGAAAATTATTTAACAAAATATTGGTTAAAATTTTAAATTATGTTATAATTTTAATTTAATTTTAAATATTTTTTCTACTGGATACAACAGGTGATAAATTTGGGCGTCGTTTTACTAATAGCTTATCATTTTTTATCTCATTCCTCACCTGTTTACCAATAATATTTTTGGCTACCGGTACGAATTTTTGCTCTGAAAGAACATGCAGATTCTTAATCAATTTTCTTTTACAGAGGAAAAGTATCAGTTTACTGTAATGTGTTTGGCTTCATTTATTAAATTCTTAAATGCGTTGACATTCTTTACGGCCACGTTACAGGGCATGGAGATATATCCCACCTGTATGCGTCAGACTGGTTGTGCTTTTGGCACGATTTTGGCGAATTCCGCTGGTTTTTAGTTTTAACTAAGATATGCTTAATATTGAACACATATGTTTTTTTCTAGAAATTCTTTAGTTTACCAAAAGCACCAGCAGCTAATGCGGCTTCAGTGGTTAATAGACAAGCTGTTGAATTATCTGTACTGGAGAAGTTAAATCAGGATCAATATGCACCCTAACCTGGTTAGTTTTTGTTGTTTTATAGAAAGCTGTATGATGTTTTTTCTTTTGTTAATAAATAATAAGAAATTTGTAATTTCTATTAAAATACTTAAATTTTATAATCGTTCTGGTAAACCCATAAAAATCAATGTATAGTCGGGCATGGCCGACCATATGATACCCTACACCAGTGAGTATGTTAAAAATGTGTGTTCTTTTTTTAATAATAAAGCATTTTAGCTTAATTCCGCAATAATTTAACAATTTGTTGCCAAAAAAAGCTTTAGCTTTAACAGGAAATGTGACAAACGCCTTTGAAATATAACGGGTGATTTCTAAACGTTTGGGTTTTAAGAATTTGAAAAAATAATATAGAGAGTTGTAATGTTGTCTTCTAAGGCAAAGATTGTAACTGGCTTGTCCCTGTACACAAAGACTTTATGTATTCGATTCGATATTGCCAAATATATGTGTCTTAGTTGCTTATTGATACAAATTTTCAATTTAACTAATATTTTTAAATATTTTGTTTAAAAACGCCCCACAGTGCAATATCTGTCTCACCTTCTCAAAAGTTTGTAACATTTCTTTTAATAGTATTCATTTTAAATAAATTCTCCCTGTTTCTTGGCTCTCCCAGAAATCAGTTGATTTTATTTTAAGGTGTTACTTGAAGGCCTTTCTAAAACTTTTATTGAGTACTTATTCTTTAATGAGTTTATGATTAAATGATAACACAGTCTAAGATTGTTTGCGATTTTATTTACAAGTTAAAAAATAATCAGATTGTTAAACCATTAGAAAATACTCTAATAATTTTATCTTTATTAATATGTTCACACCATACGCAATTTATGTTCTGGTGACAAATTTTATTTTGTCTTAGAGCAATGCCCTACAAACAAAGTTGCCACAGAGTTTGTATTAATTTAAAAGCAAAATCATTAATGATTTTTTAAAACAAATTCTTTCAGAATAGTCTTAATACTTTTAGGTTTTCACTAATGATATTTTCAAAATAATTGCTATTTTAAAATTAAAGTTTAGATTAAACATAAATGAATGTAAAAGGTTTTAGTTATCAGCAAGCTATTTTCGGTTATACTAAAACCCTTCAATCTGGCAACTGTATTTGCAAAAACTTTAATAAATTTTGGCTACGGCTCTAAAACAAAATAACAGCAATATTATTGACTTAGAGACTAAATAATGGTTAGATTAGATTTAGACGTCGAAGTGAAGAAATGTATAGAATGAAATTTTTTTAATTAAACGGAAAAATTATAACAAGAAATACATGTATATAAATTTAATATTAAAAAAAAAAGAAGTTATAACGAAAATTTAATACAAAATTTGTTAAAAGGTTCACTTTTATTAAAAAACACTTTAAATAAAGTGGTTCACTTTTATTAAAAAACACTAAAATAATTTTAATATTTAAGAAATAAATAATAAAAAAGTTATATAAAATAGTGTAAGAGTTGAAATCATCAACTGAAAGCGGGAAAATAATGGTTTGGATTGGATTAAAGAAAAAAGTGGAAATATACGCACCCAAGTGAAAAGTATTAAGAAAAGAAAAAGTAAGAGTGCTATATTATGATGAGCCCAAGCTAATTTATTTTAAACTAGCTTTACCCAGTGTGCTTCGCTCAGTGAGTTTGAATAAAATCTAATTGCCTGTTTTAGCCCTTTTAGTACGTTTTTCTCCCTGTTGATTTAATACCATTTTGTCCAAAAAGTAGCAGTATCGTAGTAGTTTAAAGAACTCAATAAATAGAAAGCAATATTTTATGAAACAAGTAAGAGTCCTATATTCGGCTGTGCCGAATCTTATATACCCTTCACCATGATGTGTTAAATGGAATAGCCAGTACAAAAAATGATTAAAAAAAATCAAAAAATACCAGTTGTAAAATGAAAAAGTATCAGAAAGTCCCCTTTTATAGAATTTCGATCAATCACAAAAACCAAAGAATATATCATTCATAGAACAAACAAGTTGAAAAAATCGTTTCCTCCAGATTTGTATTAACTTAAAAGTACTAAAGAGTCCCACTTTACATGTTCTCACTAAAAATAAAAAAAATATTATGTTTCTTGGTTCAATATTATAGAAAATTCAAAAAGTTCCTTTTGTATAACGAAAAAGTACCAAAAAGTCCCCTTTTAGAGGTTCTCACCTAATCAAGGCCCTGCATGCTAAATTTCATGTTTCTAGGTTCAATATTATAGAAAATTCAAAAAGTATCTTTTGTAGGACCAAAGGTACCAAAAAGTCCGCTTTTATAGGATCTCACCTAATCCAGGCGCTACATACTTAATTTCACGTTTCTTGGGTCAATATAGGAAGTTCAAAAAGTACCTTTTGAAGAACGAAAAAGTACCAAAAGGTCCCCTTTTATAGGTCCTCGCTTAAACCGGGCCCTACATGCTAAATTTCATGTTTCTAGGTTCAATATTATAGAAAATTCAATAAGTACCTTTTGTAGTACAAAAAAATCCCCTTTTATGTGTTCGAATCTAACCCGGGCTCTACATACTAAATTTCATGTTTCTAGCCAATAACAACATACTGCTTCCTTTGTAACGTGACGTCATGCTCAGCATTGTTTTTATAAACTACAACAATAAAAAAATTTGCCGTATGATTATGAGTTTTGTTGTTGTAGTTTACAGTTTCTGTCTGAGCATGAATAAAAAATCTCAATTTTTTATGAAATTTTCAGAGGTTGCCTCGGATATTTGCTCATATTTCCGGTATTTGTGGACAGACAGACAGACAGACAGACAGACAGACAGACGGACATAGCTTAATCAACTCCGCTACCTATAAGGATCCAGAATAGGTGAAGGATATAAAAGTACCAAAACTGGAACAATTTTCACCTCTTAAACGTTCGAATATCAAAAAAGTACTAAATTTGTGTTTATACCCTACATAAATATAGTAGGGAGGGTATTATGAGTTTGTGCTGATGTTTGTAACACCCAAAAATATTGGTCCTACACATATCATAAAGTATACCAATCGGGTCAGAATCATCCGTCCATCTGTGTGCGCACGCTACACGCTAATGTGAAGAAATTCAGCACATACTTGATTCAGGTACGAAGCCTATTAAAAATGGTTAAAATCGGTCTATTATTTCGCCTAGCCCCCATACAACCGTACCCGTCATACAAAGTCCCTTTCGGAAAATCATGTGAAGGTCAAAATTCATTTATAAACACTAGTATCACGATAAAATTTTGCATAAATAACTTTAATGTAAACGTAAACTACCAAAGTGTATAAGGATGGGCCCATATTTACACTTGACTTCTTTTGGAAAATCTGTTTTTTGTCAATAAATTGTTAAAATATTTCGGAGGTAAAAATCTTAAGTACTTTATTATTAAAAAATAATCCACATTTTTAACATACGCACTGGTGTAAGGTATCATACGATCGGCCATCATATTCTCTTCTTACGAAGGTGAAGGGTTATCACTACATCCGCTTCCAATTGATCGTTTATTATTCTACAGCACTAACTAAATAAATAGATAATAAACTTTGAAATCTACCTGATATTAATAATATTTTAAAAAATAAAAATATTCATTAAGGAACTGTTAATAAAATCTTTAACACTCTTTAAAATTTCTATTTGCAGAAAATAATGAAAAGAGTCTGAAATAGCTATCGCAAGAACTCATCCTTTTCCTCGTAATTCCCAAATAAACAGCAATTTAAAATGAAAGATAACACGCTGAACAGTAAAAATGGTTCCATTGATATATCAATGGTAGATTCCAGTACAACTGAAGATCCTTTTCAGCCCATTATTGAAAAAGCTGGCAATCATGGACGATTTCAATTGATTTTCAATGTAATATGCGTAATGAGCCTCTCAATTATGGGATCCATGATGTATATGAATATAATTTTAGCTTTAAATGTACCCGATCATTGGTGTACAGTGCCCGGTAGAGAGACTACGAATTTTACTCTAAGTGAATGGCAAAAATTGACATTACCCACGTAAGTGTAAACATTTTGAGTTTATTTAAATTCGTAAACTGTTTACAATTAAAGTTACAAATGTTTAAGTTATAAATCATATATTTTTCTATAGAACTAAAGACAATCGTGGGGCAGAAAAATATAGCAGCTGTGAAATGTATGATGTAAATTTTACAGAAATTGATGATTGGGAGAATTGGAATTCAACAGCAGCAAATGTCACAGGTTAGTATTTATTTTGTAGTTGATTTAAAGACTGATACCAAATAACTAAAAATTATTATGGAAAGTGTTGGGCATCATTATTATGTGTTTGAAAAATAACATTAGTTAAGCGGTGTCAACTTTTTACTATGTATAAAACTATATAAATAAAAATTACTAACTAATCTTTCAGTTTGTAAAAATGGCTGGACTTATGATCAAACTTGGTTTAAACATACCATACCAACACGGGAGAATTGGGTTTGCGAAAAGGATTTATATGTGACAAATATTTTCGTTGCTGGACGTGTAGCCGAAGTGGTAGGATCTTTTCTGCTTGGTCAAATGGGTGACATGTAAGTCTCTTCATTTCTAGTGAATTGAACTTATTTTCAAGTTTATTTTATTTCCTTTTAAAACAAATTTGCATAACAAGAAAATAATAATTGAAATACTATTAAAAATTTAACTTTTACTATTCCTTTATATTTTATGCTGTTTTTTTTTATTTTTGTTTAGGTTCTAATTAATTGTTCTTTCTGTTTCATTTTCTTTTAGTTTTGGTCGTCGTATTGTTTATTACATAAGTGTTCTATTAAGCTCCTTTGGCAGAATTTCATCAATTCTGACGACATCTCATTATATTTGGTTCTTAATAGTTTCCTGCTTTACATCCTTCTCCATTAATAGTGTGTTTCAATCACCTCATATAATCGGCATGGAAATATCAAGAGAGTGAGTGTTTATCTTATTCTTTTATACAATATATGTATTTAACTTCTTAAAAGTATAATAGTAATATATTCGTTATTTTGTTGCTGCGATAACCAAAGTCGGTGATTTTATGAAAACCTTTAGAAAGTTTTATCATTCCAAATTATCTATTGTACTTTAATGAATAGCGTGTATTGTTTGATTTATTTACAACTTTTGGTATCAACAGTTTAGAATACTTATCTATTGCTCACTTTTGTTTTCTTTATGACTCTGAATTAATAGAGTATCCCAGCAAATACTTTCATTAATTCGAAATCAAAATTCAAAGGCTAAAGAGTAAGTACTACTATGTATTTGAAGTATTATTTGTAATGCAGACGGTATATACTTAGTAGTCATTGAAAAGTATGTTGTTGAGTAAGTACAAGTCATTACCATGTTTTTGCTGGGATGTAATCTATTATTCTATTAATTTTTTTCTTTCATTTTTTTAATTTAATTTTAAAAATTTCAGTGAAGATCGCAGTTTAATAACAATGTATCACAATTTTGGTTGGTCGGTTGGTATAACATTGGTACCTCTACTTTTTTGGTGGCTACGTGATTGGGAATCTTTTATGTGGATATCGTCGGTACCAGCATTAGTTTTCTTATTAATATACAAGTAAGTAGTAAAGAGCAGGATTTTCTTATTTTCTACTTTTTAGCAGTACTCATATTAGTAGTTCTTATTTTTCCATACTAAAAACTGCAAATATGAGAACACGAACAAACCATATATATTTAAATAATTTTTATAATATTCATTATACCCTACACCACTATAGTTGGAAGGGTATTATGCGTTTGTGCTGATGTTTGTAACACCCAAAAAGTATACCAATCGGCTCAGAATCACTTTCTGAATCGATTAAGCTATGTCCGTATGTCCGTCTGTGTGTCCATGTAAACCTTGTGCGCACGCTACAGGTTTTAATATAATTTGATGAAATTTGGCACATGCTCTTCTTTTCGACAAACGGTATTAAAAATGGTTGAAATCGGTCCATTATTTCGCCTAGCCCCCATACAACCGTACCGCCCGAATACATCCTTTGGGCTAATAATTAAGTTAAATATTCTATTATGTCAACAAAAATCAGCAAAACCTAGTTTTACAGAACTTTCAATGACACTACCGATTTTTGTTATGGTCGGGCCATACAAACTCTCCTTCAGAATTTGACTTGAAGGTCAAAATTCACTTATAAACACTAATAACATGATTAAATTCTACATAAATAACTTTGAAGTAGGCGTAAATTCCTCTACCAACATTTATAAGGATAGACCCATATTTACTACTACTCCCCTATGAGCCCTCTTTTTTGTCAACAGTAAATAAAAATATTCCGGAATAAAGTTAAAAAACAAATTAAATACTTAATTTTTTTAAAAATAATCCACATATTTAACATACTTTCTGGTGTAGGGTATCATATGGTCGGCCATGCCCGATTATACATTCATACTTGTTTTTATTTAATTTTCTGTCGTTTGTTAATTAACAAGATATGCCATTGAGTCTCCACGTTGGTTGATTAGCAAGAAACGTTTTGGTGATGCTATTATACAATTGAAGAAAATTGCCAAAGTCAATGGACGCCATTTTGATATGACGGAAAATGATTTGGCTCAAATTTACTCCGAAATCAATCAAGAAGCTACTTATGGTTTTGCTTCAATGTTTAGTGGCTGGCGTTTGGCTAAAAATACTGTGATCTTGGGTTTCTCTCGGTAAGTTTACGAAAACAATATTCAATATGTTGCTTATTTTACTCACTATGGCTGTCAAAATAAGCCATAGTCTTACTCGGAAAAATTTTTCCCAGTAAGAAAAATACATAACTAGAACTGGGATACGACTTCACCTTGTAGTCTGTTCGAATACACGACAACAAAAATGTTAAAAAACATTTCTAAACGATTGAACTGTGGTTGTTTACCTGAGTAATTGCTTTTAAAACTGCTTCAAGATATGCGTATAAGTAATGTGAAATAACACATAATTATAAATATTACGTATACGCCTTGCAGGTTTAAAACTATAAAAATACAATATTAACAAGAAAAGTGAAAGAAGTACAAAATAATTTATTTTTTTGGTTTCTCTTCCTCTAAAAACAGCTGTGTTGTTGGCATTTCCTACTTTACCATTGTGTTGTTTAGTACCGCCATAAGTGGTAATCCCTTTCTAAATTTCCTTTTACAAAGTGTAGCAGAAATACCCGCCTACTTTATGGGCAAATATTTAGGTGAGTTAAAAAAATATTAAATAAGAAACAATTTGTTATACAAATAAATAGCATAATTCAACTTATTAAATTAATTTCACAAAATTAATTGGTTGTTCTCATTCCTTTCAGGTGATAAATTTGGACGTCGTTTTACTAATAGTTTTTCAGCCTTTATATCATTTCTCACTTGTGTACTGATTATAATATTAGCAGCGGGTAAGTTCAGCACCATCATTTCAGAAATCAACAAATTTTAATATATTTTCCTTTCGTTAGAGAAAAAATACGAATTCATGGTCATGGGTTTGGCTTCATTTGTTAAATTCTTAAATGCAGTCTCTTATTTCACGGCCAGCTTGCAAGGCATGGAAATTTATCCCACTTGTATGCGTCAGACTGGCTGTGCTTTTGGTACTATTTTGGGTAATTCTGCTGGTACTTTGGCTCCCTATCTTGTGTATTTAAGTAGCACTGTTGATATACGCTGTCCCTATTATATTTTGGCTACATTATTCTTTATTAGTTCTGTCGGTACACTTTTCTTGCCCGAAACTTTGCACAAAAAACTACCTGACACTATGGAGGAGGCGAGACAATTTGGTGTTAATGATGTAAGTTGTGATTCAAGTGAAAACATAGCTTATTAGTATTAAATGTTAAAATATTTGTTGCACAATTTAATAACTTGAATTTTTGTCTTATGTTACTTTTAACAGAAATTCTTTAGTCTACCTAAAGCGCCTGCAGCTAATCACAATTTAACAGAGAGAAAGCGGACGATTGATAATACAGCATTAGAAAAGCTGAATCAGGATCAATATGCTCCCTAAAGGATTTTTATCTTTAGTTGTTTTAATGAAAGTTTTCTTTAAAGACTTCTCCTTTATCATTGTTTTGTTTTAAATATTAAATAGTTATAAAAAATGTAGACATAATATTAAGATCAGATTATCATTTTGATTATTAAGTAGAATGAATGGAAGTTGGATGAGTGCATATTTGCTTAAAACTTGGACTATAGTGAGATGTCAAGTTTAGAGGTCACCACCTACGATCAACCAAATTGAGGTCTTCTTCTTTATACATATCATGGGTAAGAGTATTCTTATGTTCAATTGTCAGTTTGTGGCTATAGCTACATAAACAACATTTTATTTTATAAAAGGTTTATAAAACAAAAATTCCATACAAAATTCAATGAATAAATCATTTATAAAATAAAATTGTTTTTATAAATAAGTAATGACTGTGTCATTTTTGCAAAAAGTGTTAATTTTCTCAGACTTATAACTTGCAACCCGTTTGGAATTTTGAATCATTCTCTGAGGTAAAGTTGTAGTTCTGGGTATATTGGGTTTGTGCTGATGTTTATAATGCACAATAATATTGGTCCTATACCTTAAAGTATACCAATCGGCTTAGAATCATTTTCTGAGTCGATTTCTGTCTTGTATCAAAATACAGGTCGCAATTTTGAAGATAATTCAATGAAATTTGGTACATGATCTGCTATTGTCCCAGGGACGAATCCTATTGAAAATGGTTAAGATCGGTCCATTCGGTGAAATCACCTAGCCCCCATACAACTGAAGCCCCGAATAGGGCTTGTAAACCTTTTAATCAAACTACAGGTCGCATTTTTGGAGATATGTAATTCAATGATATTTGGTACATAATCTTCTATGGTACCGGAGACGAAGCCTATTGAGCATGGTTAACATCGGTCCATTATTTCTCCTAGCCCCATACAACTGAACCTGCCAAATAAGCCTTTTAAGTTCATAATTATGTTTAATATACTCCTATCTGGACAAAAAGCTGTAAAAGTTTTATACTAGCCTTAAGAACCCTCATGAATTTTATAACAATAGGGCCTCATTTGACCCCAGTCCCTATAAAAAGCCCCCTTCAAAAATTGGCTTAAATGTCCACAATACAACACCTGCACGTATACGTGTTAATGATTTATTTATATTACAAATATTAAGTATACGCTTAATTTAGAGAAGCACTTGAAAGTAAAAAAATATCGATTCTTTTTAAACCTTTTTACTATTTTGATCATGATTTTTTTCTTTTTGCACTGTGTTATTCTATTAAAAAACAAAATTTGTTTGTAAATTAAACTTAATATGAAAGGAACGTTTTAGAATGATGATTTGACTTGATTTAATTTATACATGTAAACTACACAAACTTATTGTATTACACAATATGATATTAAGTTTTTTTTTTTATAAAGAAGGTAAATACAACTCCGTTTTTGGTTTATAGCGACAATTATAATGCTTTGTATATTATGTATTCAGATAAAACAAACACTTGACATACATATATAGAATTACAAAGCTAAAATACCGCAATAATATTTACATAGTAGAATACTTTTAAGAACATTTTTAAAAAGTACTTTTTGCTCAGGAAGTAAAATTTAGTACAAATGTCTAAAAAAACTTTAAATAGCTTACACTTTCAAGTCACCTGCCAAAGTTTAATTTTAAATAATAAAGCATCTGTTAAAAAAAATGCTTTTAAAAACAAATTGAACTAATTTCCAAACAATCTCTAAGGTAACAAATTTACTTCCCTTTTACATAAAACTTAAAAGTTTAAGTTGTGCGAAACATAAAGAAAACATACATTATTATTTTAAAATTGCATAATTTAAAATGTCTAAAGAGTCCCCTGTCATCTGTGCATGCGAAACAGTTTTTCATACAAACTAATTTGTGTTTTTGCTAGCAAGAACAAATGTTAAGTTAAGTTTATATTCTGGTGTCTTTTGCATCTGTTTTGGATACTTTCTACAAGGGTTTCTTATATAGTTGCTTCGTTTAGTTTTTCTTTATGCTTTTTTCATTTCTTCTGTTGCATACGCGCGATAAAATTGATTCACAACATCACATAAATCAAGAGCTAGAAGAAACTTTTGTTAGAAATTATCAGTAGCAAACACTAAATTTTATAAAAGCACAGATACACACACATAGAATGGAAAAATTAAACTTATACAGCTAAACAATGAAACTGCTGCTTATAAAAATATATACACCTATAGATATACATACATATATAAACATAGACACATCATACATATACTTCTACATAAAATACATAATTTTGGTTTATAAAATATTTACAAACCTGTACTCATATGTCTGTACAACAAACAATAATTTTGTTGTAAACCATAAAAGGTACTCTCACTCACTACTCCCAAAAAAAAAAATCATCAAATTTTTGTGGTTGTTTGTGTTGTTGTTTATTTTGAAATATTCCACTTACTTATACAGACACATACATTTAATATGAAAGTGTGTGTAATTTATAAAAATTTCACCTTTTGTAAAATTAACCCCATTACTTTTGACGGCAAAAAAGGAAACGTACACACACACACACACACATACATACTCATATAAAATACACGTACATTTTTCGCTAAAAATGTACATCAGCATACAAAACAAAAAATTGTTACCGGTGAAAGTTTATACTTTTTTTTTCTACCATACAGATTTAAAAGCTACACTCACTAAATCAATTTGTTATTTTTGACAGGGTGTATGATAAACCTCATTTTAAGGCATTTTTTATGTATTTAATGTCTAGCGAAAAAAGTCAAAATTATGTTCATTTTTTTGGCTGGAAAACCATAAAATAAGGTAACTGTTATTTAAAAATTGTTGTGGAAAATATAAATGAAATTTATTATACTGTTAGAGGAGAATAGGAAATTTGAAATAAATTTAAATATTTTTAAACGACACTTTAAAAAGAAATAGTTAAAATTTTTGGTGTAAAGTTTGGAATTGTAGTTAAGACAATGGTGAAATGTTTGTTGTTTTAATTTTATAAGTTTTCTTAATGATTGCATTTTCAATGGAAGCACAAGTTTAGTTATCGGTTATTTCAAATTGTTTTATAAAAAACTTATTAATTAAACCACTACACCAATTTAGTAGGTAGAGTATATTTTGATTGTGCTAATATGCTAATGAGCTAACTAGACGACAACGCCACTTTTGTGAATCTTACACGTACATGGACCGTCAAAACCATGTACAAAAATTAACAGCACTTTGCTCAAGTACTCGTGCTTAACCCATTTACGGTCGCTGTGCCAATTTGGTAACACTTAATTTTTAAGGCTGTATTAAAAAACGGTTAACTCTGGTTTATTTATTTTTGCATTATTGAGTAGAGGAAAGTGCTCAGAATAAATATTAAATCAAACAATTTAACTAAATTCATTGTTATTGTTGTAATAATCTACTAAACTTCAGTGGCCAAAAACATACTAAAAACATGTTATAAAATAAATTTGTTAAAATTTTTTAAACAAAGTATGACAGTTATTAATTTGAAACAAACGGTCTAAAAATAATCTGATAACATAGTAATGCCGGCTCTAAACCGATAAAAATCGCGAGCTACATAAAAACGGAAATCCCCTCTAATGTCCTAATTATTAATATTTTTTAATATTTTTTTTCGTTTCTGCTTTTTTGCATTGTTGAAAATAAATATACCTTGAAGTTTCAAAAATTTAACTTGTACTTTTTGATTGGCTGTAAATGGGTTAATTTCCGAAATACAAAAACATCACTTTTGTTTACAACCGCGTAGATGGGATGCCCTCAAATGAGTCAGCAACATCACCTAGAGACATAGACTCGGTAGACCGAAACACGAATCTTTCAAAGAAGCCGAGTAATTGATCTTAATCACAGAGAACACATTGTGGTAAATCTGGTATGAACAGTGTAATATACCTAGGCATGGAAGGAAAATTCAACGGTATTACTTGTATAAGATACCTTTCATCCATCACCATTCAACACAGCACACTTCTCATGTTGAATGAATGAGAACAAAATCTGAAAAACTTTACGTATATAGTCCGATACACTGGCCTCAAGGTTACAGTTTGCCGATTATGTCTAATCATTCCAAGGCCGAGGATACATTTAATCATCAGCAGTTTATATTCTCGGCAGACTAGAAGTACTGGTAACACCTCTTTTTTTTCCGGGATTGCAATAACACCAAGATGAAGATCAAGGCAACATGTCTCCGCGGGTTCTATACCGTAAGTATAACAATAGTCTTACATGATTTTCTGAGTCGATTAAGTCAGGCCAATTCAGCCAATTTGGCTGGGTGACTAGCTAGCTGACGGGCTGCCCATGAAAAGTTGTGCTCAAAGTAGCCTAGCCCTAGCGAATACGACCACGGTAACTAGTGCTGCTACGACTATGATGGGAAAATATTTGCAAAAATTTTACCACTTAATTATTTAATATTTTTAGAACTTAAGGCCAATTGGCATTTTTAACGCCTTAAAATATAAGAAATTAAGACGAATTGGCTAAAACAATTATTTTTTCAAAGTCTATATTTTTAGAAAAATTTACTAACTCTGCCCATTTCGAATGCATACAAACTTTCTTTTATATTATCAAAAAATTTTTTTACTGCAGTTAATGTCTTCACTCGCGAGTAATATTTGCTATTTAAATTTCCAAACTGAAGATTTCCACCAAAACTTTCGCAATTTACTTTTAGCGAAATCATAAAGTTTTTATAAATTACTATAAAATGTAGTTTTAATTATAAAAACAGTTTAACGTACATTTGATTAATTACACCAAATAACTTATGAACAAATTCAACATTTTGTGTAAAATTATAAATTAATTAAAGCAGCATAAACATAAATCTATATTAAAATACTAAAAACACAAAAATCATTAAAATCTGTACAAAATCACGTTTAATATAACATTTCTAGGGAATTAACAATGATTTTGCAAAAGTAAAGTTAAGAAACGAATTGCCATCTTTAAATATTAACTAAATAAATAACTTTGCTCTTAAATTTGTTTCTTATATAATAAATATTTAAATAATTATTGTCAAAGTTGTATAACCAGGAATAAAGTAACAAACAACACACCGTTAAAACGAGTGTTGAAAACTTTGCAACATCACCCACGTTTGTGTACAAAAACAACAACAAAACAAATAAACCTTAAATAATGACTCGGAATGCTAAAACAAAAAAACAAATTTAATTATTTATGAAAATGTTAACAGACATTTTGCAATTAATTGTGTTTCAGAGAAAAATTATGTTCACCACAATACAGTTTTTAATTACAATAAACAGTAGATGCTCGTTGCTCGAGAATAACTAGATATTTTGTATACT